TTTATTCCTTCCTGGTTAAATTTACCCTTTTTTATTTTCATATTTATTTCCTATCTTATTCATAGCCTTTTCTTTTTTTCTTTAGGTCACGAGCAGTTGTCTAAGCATTTCACTGCATATCGTACTGTGTATGACTGTGTATGTGACAAATAAAAAATTTGAATTTGAATTTGAATTTGTTTGTTTTTTGGTAGCAAAGAGGAACAAGAGGTAAGTGACGAAAGTGACGGAAAAAGGTAAGTGACTCAAAAAAAGTGAATGGTAGCGTAGAATTTAACAAACGTTTCTTTAGGCTTCAAGTATACTAAATATACTAATCAATATACTAATCAATTGTCATATAGCTAATCACATCTGTATTATCATCTCCAACACCCTGGAGGCCAATGGGGAGAGTTTAGATGCTCTCCAAGATTTCATTGATCGGTGCTTCCAGGACATAGTGATGAAGAAGGTCCAGATTGCATCTTCCTCGACCAAAATTGAGACGCCGTCATCGTAAAGATGTCACCTGGCACAACATTTCCTGCCAGCAATGACATTGCAGACATCCTGGAGTCAATCGACAAGCGATTGTCCAGTTTCAGTGCGAGGCTGTCCCTGGTGGAGATTTTTCACTGGGAATTTAAATCTCTGGGAGAATCCCTGGAGTTCAGCCAGGAGCAGGTGGAAACACTTGCTGCTGAAAATGCCACGCTATGAGAGTTGGTCAAATCTCTTACTGAAAATGTGACTCAGCTAAACATAGAAAATAAAAAATAAAAGAGACTGTTAGCATGAGAGATAACCTTGTGTTTTCTGGTATTCCAGAATCTGCTGGAGAGGATGCGGAAATAATGGTGAAAAGCTTCATTAAAACACACCTGAAATGCCGGAGGACACCATAAATAACATCGCGTTTGAAAGAGTGCATCGCATTGGGTCAGAAGTTTATTGAGGTCAGCGACCGGGGGACCACATCCAATTGTGGCCAAATTCGGCCACTTCAAACAGAAGGAACAGGTGAAGAGTCACAGCAGGGAGCTGAAAGGAACGGACTTCAGCGTGAACAATCATTTCCCCAAAGAGATCCTGGAACGATGTAAGGTTCTGTTCCCAGTCCGATGTAGCTTCATCCAGAAAGGCTCCCGCGCTGTCATTGCTGTGAACCGACTCTACGTAGACGGACTCTACCGCAACCCCGGCATCCCTCTGTGGTTGTATTGACTTCACTCCAGATAAGAATCTGCTTCAATCTTTTCTTATCCACTCACACTCTTCTGCATTAACATGTGTTTAACCTAGCAATATCAGTATGATGTCATACAGATATAACAACGTCACCCTCGATCATTGCGTTAACTGGAATGTTTCTGGGGGTTTTTTCTTTCTTTTTCCTAATTATTAAACTATCAATACTTAACAAAAGTATTGATTGGTACACCGAGATGTGCACTTGTTCTTGGGGGTGACCTCAACCTGGGACAAAATTAAGAAATGGATAGGCTCAACACAGCAGGAACTCAGCGCAACTGGCAGTCCACAAATATAATCAAACAGTATATGAGCGACTTTGGTCTTTGCGATGCATGGCGCTCCCTTCACCCCAACAGTAAGGAATACTCTTTCTTCTCACATGTCCATCACTCCTACTCTTGTCTGGATTATTTCCTAGTCAGCAACTCAATGTTGAGTGACATTTCAGACACTGAGATACACCTTACAGCTGTCAGCGATTATGTATCTTTAACACTAATACATAAGAAGAACATTCCACCAAATAAAAACTGGAGATTTAATACACCATTGCTCAAAGATGAAGAAATATTAAATATTTTTAAAAACAGTGGACTTTATATTTAGACTGTAATGACACTCGTGGACCATCAACATCTGTCCTCTGGGAAGCAGGGAAAGCTGTGATGAGAGGTAAAATAATTTCTTTGTCATCACATAAAAAGAAAGAAGAAAACAAAAATATTCAGGAACTAGAGAAAACCATCAAATCCTTAAAAGAAGCCAACGTGTCCGACCAAGATCAGGAAATACTGAACAAAATACGCAAAACAAAACTCAAATTAAATGAAATCATTAATAGAAAAACTCAATTCCTAGTACAAAGACTTCGCTTGCAGAATTTTGAACACAGTAACAAATCCGGTCAATTTCTATCTGGAAACACAATATATGACCTTGAAAGACTAAACAACCTTTTTAGGGTTTTCTATGAAATTTTATATTCACCACAAATAAACCCATCTAAAAATGAAATTGATCAGTTTCTTGACAAAGTAACTCTTCCAAAATTACTAGACAGTCAAGCAATGGCACTGGATTTGCCACTGACACCAGGTGAACTCCAGGAAGCCCTGATGAGTATGCCCAATAATAAGGCTCCAGGTCCAGATGACTTTCCAGCAAAATTCTACAAATAATTCTGGACAATTCTGGCACTAGTATTTCACAGAATGTTGCAGGAAATCAAGGAAAATGGCAGACTACCACCAAATATGAATCCTGCTGATATTAGTCTCCTCCTAAAACCAGGCAAAGACCCTGTATTTTGCTCAAGTTATCGTCTAATATCCCTTATTAATGTAGACCTCAAAATAATCTACAAAGCCCTCTCAAAGAGATTAGAGAAGATAACCCCCCTGACCAAACCGGCTTCATAAAAGGTAGACACTCATCAACAAACACACATAGATTATTTAATTTAATAGACTAGATCTAATAGACTTTAATAGACTGTCTCTTGCAGTAAAAACACGGAATCCACATCTCTAGATGCAGAAAAAAGCATTTGACAGAGTTAACTGGAAAGTTTTATTTGCAACTTTACACAGATTTGGTTTTTGGAAACTCTTTCCAAAACTGGCTAAAAATATTATATAATTCCCCAACAGCCTGTGTCAGAAAAAATTACCAAACATCCTCCAGCCTGGGGTACCAGGCAGGGATGCCCACTCTCCCCGTCACTGTTTGCAATTTTTATTGAACCAATAGCAGCAGCAATTAGGCTACAGTAATTAAGGGCATAAAATACAAGAATGTAGAACATAAAATTAGTCTTTATGCGGGTGATGTGTTGCTTCCCCCCCGCCCCGAACTCACAAATCAACCTTTCTGAGGTAATTACACTAATAAACTCTTTTTCAAGAGTTTCAGATTACTTAATTAACCGGGCAAAATCTACAGTTCTTCCAATTAAATGCTCCCTCTATAATTTGTCTTCTACCCCATTGCAATATGGAAATATAAAATATTTAGGTATTAATATCTCTCCTTAACTTGAAGATTTAACTAAATTAAACCAATTCCGACTTTCAAAGAAAGTAGAAGGCGATCTGGCTAGATGGAAATCTCTACCCATATCACTCATGGGAAGGGTCGCAGCTAAAAAAAAAGGTGGTCTTGCCAAGAATAAATTATTTATTTTCAATGATTCTGAACAAACCATCACAAGACTGGGATTAAATATTATCATTCAAATTTGCAAAAAAAAACAAAAACCAGCATATGCGTCAAAATAAACTATTTCCAGCAGTGCAATTTGAGTTCTAAGCATCCCAGAAACGACACAGAAAAGCATAAAGTCAAACATAACTTTTAAAAACACCAGTATAGGCTCATGAGGCCCTGAAGGTAAAAAACAAATTTTTTTGCGAAAATGACGTCACTTCCGGTTTCGGGCAGGTAATGGCGGACATGCAATAGTTCGCGCTGATGTCTATTCCAACATAGGAAATGTTATGAACAGCTGATTGGATCGGCAAAGTGTGTGTCTGGAATATTATGTTTTTGTTGCTTTTTATGCAATTTTTGCAAAGCTATATGTGGAAGGAAACTGTGGTCTAGGACAAGCTGATGGCATAAGATGTAAGTACAACTCCTCCGGTTTCATATGCAAAAAAAATTATTGCGCTAGCTTACGTGGTTCCAGTTCTACAGGGATTTAAAAATAGTTACGCAAAATGGAGCATGCCCACTCCGACTGGTTTTAAAGGCTTAATCCCATGCAATAGTACACCTATCTGGAACAACCCTGAAATATTAGAAAACAATAATATGATTAATTTTCCAGATTGGAGTTGTAAAGGAATTAAATACTTGGAACATATATTTGAGAAGGAACAGACTTTATTCCGTTTGACAGACTAGTTATACAACTGCCCACACTGTCAAGGCAATACACCGGACAATTACATCCACGATCTTTGGTTCTGTCAATATGTGAAGACTTATCAAAGTGTCTTAAATGTAAAATCCCAACCTCCCCTTTAGTGTGCTTGTTGGGCAAATTGGATGATGTCACTACAGAAATGAATACAGCCCACATGGTTTTCACTGTCCTATGCATTGCCAAGAAAATGATCCTCAATAACTGGAAAAATAAAAATAATCTTAATTCTAGCCAATATAGAGACCATCTAATACAAGCCTATTCAAATGGCGGCCTGCGGGCCACATGCGGCCTAGAAGCAACCTGCAAGTGGCCCTGCCTGTGGTCCTGGCAGAAACACAGAGAAAATGCAAAAAATTAATCAATTAATTTTTAAAAATAAAAAATTCCTACAGCGTAGTGTAGACTGTGAATGCAACACTCCTAGTAGCCTAGCAATATTTAACCCACAATGCACCGTGATGTAAACATATTAAACAATCATCGTAATATATGATGAGTTTCTTGGGGAAACACAAAAAGGGGGTGAACCGTCATGTATTTAATATATATTCTTAGTGCTTATTTGCTGACTATATTGCTTTATGTGTAGGCCTTTATGAACTAGACCCAGACGAGACAAGAACTAGGTTAAGGGTGACAAGTTGCCCTGGCAACAGAACTTAGAAAGGGGAAGTTAGTGCAAAGCTGCACCGGAAATTTGACACAAAGAAAGAGGAACTGAGTGTGTGTGTGTGACGTGCTGCAGAAATATAACCATGCTGGCTGCTACCGCAGTCAGACTTGAGCTGGTGTCTCTATGAGCTCGGTCTCCATTTTCCAGAAAATGTAAAATTAAAGATCATTATTTGAGTTAGACCACTTTGAGCTTGAGTCTTTCTTCGCCGCCAAAAGAATGCAAAGAACTGAATTTAATAAGGGTCTACACTGTATATAGTGAAGTCTGCAAGTTTTCTAACAGCAAGATTTGTTTTGTGCCCAAGTCATTTTGCAGATCATTAGAATGAAAATTATTGACCATGTTTGCATAGCCCTTTTTAAAAATATGCTTTCATGACATTATTGTATGTTGGGTGGCAGTCAGGGCTATCCAGACTGACAAGTGGGACATTGAATGTCACTTCTCTGGTGGAGGGAGCCTGAGATTGTCTAAATTGGAGTCTGTTTTATACCAAATGCAGAAAAAATGTTTTAAGAAAGCAATTAAGTTAGTTTTCCAAAAAATATGATTGTTTGCTTGCAGGACACCAGGAGAGATGAGTCCTCCGTCACAGATGGTGTGGTCAGTGAAGATGGTCGCCTGCAGGTTCAAGCTCATTGCATCTCCAACCCACATCCAC